AAAACATAAATAATTGAAAAAAGATAGAAATAAAATAATAAAAAGCTTGTTAACGCAGCCACTCTGGGACTGAAATGTGGAACTCACAAATATTCTTTAGCCTTATTAAACTACTACAAAATAGGTGAAGTGAAATATTCTTCATAGATTATAGCTGCGTTCGAAGTTAACCGATCAACACAGTAAAGATTTGTCTTATTTAATTCTGTATTTCAAACAGAAAATTCATTTTCTACGGCTATTCAATTTTTTGTTTGCATTATTGATATTCCCTCATTATTTTCCATTTTTTCCAATTCGTGTCTTTTTAATTTAATATTCTTATTATTATAATCATTAAATTAATCGGCAAACAAGTGTATTTTACATATCTATAATATCTACGGCAGATTTTATGCACTATTATATATATTAGTCTACTCACAAACAATGATGTTGACAATTTTTTTAAATTATAACTTGATCGATTTTACAAAAAACTAGAAAATCTGACATCTGCTTTCTCCATTGCTAAAGTCTGTAATGGGAAGGGGAAGCCGCGAAAACTTGACCTTAAAACTTACAGTCACTATTTTCTTCGAAAATATATGTGAGTTTCACAAAATGTATGCAAACTTTTCACTGATATTTCGTTTTAAGAAATTCAGCTAATATTTTCTATTAGACTAATAAAACTTCACGACAGAAAAACTAGTTAATTGAGCTTGTCATCATTTCAATAATCAACATTTGCTTTTCCATTGTCATAGAATTTTCATCTAGAACGATTTTTAAATGAAAGGTCATAATTTATAGGCTTGAACGTTGTTGTTACTTTCGTAAAATATGTTCATTCACAGGTATTTATCATTTCAATTTCTAGAGTATGTCTGTTTTTTTTCCTGAAACACAATTAATGTGACAAGATTAAATAAATTAAGCATGACAATGAATATAATGTGACTAATTTGTTATTTGAAAAGTCAAAGATTTTAATGTCATGTTTAATGTTCGGGAATTAGGCTCACTGCATATCTCCAGTTCTGTATGGAAGAGACAGATATAAACATTTTTTTAGGTTTTTTTGCTCAGAGTACGTTTCTGTTCCACAGATAAGCAAGATATTTATATCGTTCATAAGTAGAAAACAGAACAACAAATATTACTTTCCATTTTAATACTTCGAACTCGATTTTTGTCGCGAGCATTGATAGATTTATTGAATAAGTCTTGCATCTATAATTTATAATCATATCATGATCCATCAGAAAAAATGATGTTATATTATATTTTTTAAACTTTATTTATCTATGTAAAATTCATTTGTAAATGACTTAAACTGATTCGATCGTATTTTAGTTTCAGCGACATTAAGTTTTTTCGAATTATTGAAACAACACAATATAGAATACTTTTATTTCTATGCTGATACTGAGAAACTGGATTGATAGTTCCAGCTTACAGAAGATTTTTGAGTAGAATAGCTTTACAGCAGCTAATCTCTCGCATTTATTAGGCATAGGATTTCCAAAAGTTTTCGCTTGCGAGAAAAACAATTCCAGTCATACAAAAACAAAAGATACAAAGTTACTGGTTCTGCTTGACGTGAGAAAAAGCCAGTCGATACTTATGATCAAAAAGGTTTTGTAAAGACATTGCCTTTTCGAAACAGAAACATTTGCTCGTTATATCTGTATAAAATCTTCTATACCTACGAGCAAATTAACAATGCAATATATCGCTGTTGTTCTATAGATGAGAGTGAAGCATTATGTTAATTATACATACGTGAGAAAAAATACTGCGTTTTTTACCATTCAAACGTATGCATACAATAAATCGACAAAACATCAATAAAATACTTCCTTTGCTGCATAAACAACTAATTAGTATGCTGTCAGACCCTAGATGACTCATACCTCATTAGCAGATTATGCACTTAGTTAATGATTGTGTCCAACGGGTCCTGTATTATATTTTAGGCATTAAAAAAGTCTAAAATTGATTTACAATCGAATGAGACACTTCCCATTGCCGAGAAACTTCTGTGAACATTGTTTTAGACTGAAAGTGTTTTGCTTGTGCTGCTCTCTATAAATTTCTCCAGAGTAACTGTTGGCATAGCGACGTGAATATGTTGTAGTTGGTAATGAGCATCTGATAATTACTCTTCTTCTTCAATTCCTCAACATATTATCTAAAAATACTTTCGATTTATTCTTTGATTCAATATTTTATATAGAGATCGCTAGTGAGAAGTGTATCGTCTAATAAATGCGTGAAAGAAACGTCTTTTAATCCCTCTGACAGTATAACATATTTGATTTTTCTCATTCTGTCTCACGTCGTTCGAACCGCTTAACGAATAACAATACACCGCTAATCGAATGCAAAAAAACACGTGTGCTTAAAAATGCATCGATTTATTTTTTCACGATCATCTCACATCACATACAAAATATTTAGCACAATAGTATGATCCAAGGGGGGAAGTGAAGATTTGGAATCCCCAGCACCTCGGCACTTTCTCAGTACCTTTTTCAATACCGTTTTGATGTTATAACTTAGTTTAATTATACGGTAATTGTTCACAAAACCAAACTTTATTTTCAATAGGAAAGATGTTTTGCTTCAAATACACACACAATATAAAAGACTAAGTACTTAAACGAAAATAAGTAACAAAATATTGCATGATACTGAATCGAGCAACAAAAAGAACTATTTCGAGCAAAAAATGTCATTTTTCTTTTGATTCTTTAACACATTCTAATCGATCACTTGATACACTGTAAAAACAATCCGTAGAATAATAAACCCAAAAAGGGTTGATGAAAGTGTAACGTATAATAAATCCTTTTTACCGCATGTAAAATTTTCCTAAAACCTTTTAAAGGGTTTATTAAAGGGTTTCGGAAAACTTATTCTTTCCCAAAATTCATATGTTCAGTTTGATGAGTCGTGCAAGCAAAACTAAATGCAAAAAAAATAAATTTATCTCATTTAAATACAACTTACTTGTGATTTTGTTATTGCGACTAAGCTAAATAAAAAGAAAAAAAACTATTTATTTTAAAATATACTTACATATAATTTTGAAGTTGCTATTCAACTAAATGAAGAAAGCACAGAGTTATGTGTTTTAAAAAAATACTTAGATATGATATTAAATATCCTATTCAACTAAATAAATAAAAAACATAAATATTAATATAAAAATAATACTTACATATAATTTTGACGTTGATATTCAACTAAATAATGAAAAAAGATAAATATTAATATAAAAATAATACTTACATTTGATTGTATTGCTTCGAGAATTTTAAATAAAAGAAAGAATTATTTATAAAAATAATAGTTGCATATGATGTTTGACTTCATAATGAGCTGAGTAAAGATTTTATAAATAATACTTACGTTCATTATGGTGGT